AGCAGGGCTCTGTGCAGGTGTAAAACCTCATTTGTGTAGGATCAAGGCTCTCAGCATTAACAGAGGGGCCTAACTGTAGGTAGCCAAATTGAGGTGTTCTTTATTTATATTTGAGCCCATTCAAATTTTTATGTAAAACCTTTTATATACCTTTTCTGCTAAAAAAAAAACAAGCCCCAAACAAAACAGGCATTTGCCTTTATATACTTGAGTTAGACTGCAAGGTTTGTACAACTTCTGAACGTGTCACTATTTGACTTTGCAGTGTTACTGTCAAAATATAATTTGTGAAGGCACTCGCTTGGTAACAGATAAAGAATTAGTGTATTACGTGTACATTACAGTCATTGTAAAATCCTGGAGTTTTTGTGTGACCTTTGTCTAATGGTGTATTAATTACAAGAGAGATAATCCATTTAACAATAAGTATGGGATAACTAAATTAGCACAGGTCACCTAAAGGCCTTTTGTCAAATCTGATTGTTATGTTGTCCTTTTGACTTTTACCTTATGGTAGGCACTAACAAAGTATCTAAACTTTGATGGATTATAAACTCTAAACATGATATGTATTTTTCATAATGCTAATGTAATTTTCTAGGTACTGAAAAGGTCAAACCCCCACGTCTCTGTGTGCATTCTAAGTCTGTCTTTCCTTTTAATATTTCTTTTTCTCTGTTCCTCTGGTTCAAAAGTTCACTCAGTTCCCAAATGGCCACCTAATTTTCCAGTTATTCCCTCAAGCCATATGTGTTTTGGTTTCTTTATGGTTTATTAGGTACTGTAGGAAAGTAGCATAAGTTATATCTTCTAATGAAATTCAAGCACACTTCAGTGATGCTTTGACTTGATTGCTGGCAGCAATTAAATCACAACGAAGGAGAATGATGCATAGGCTTACATGTCCAGACACCCTACAGAAATTGGAAAAGGGATAAAACACAACAAAACCCCCAAATAAAATAACAAACCCAAAAACAAGACAGACAAAACAAAACAGCACTGCCAGGCACTCCTTTCTTAACTTGATTTTTTTTTTTTTTTTTTAATTGGCTAACAGCCTGATTGATAGCAAAATCATAACTTGCTGTATGCTAACAGGCAGAGTTCACTTGTAGGTTATTGTGAGCTGATAAAGGGTTAGATGGAGTTTTGATTTTCGCATTGGTCCTTGGTGCACCAGATTAATGGAATTTCAATGAGAGACTGGAGTAGTCACAGCTTTGTCAGAAAAACAGATGGAGATTCTATAGCCATGTCTGCTCATTAATACCAGTTGCCTGAAAGGTGTACTACTTCTTTATACAAAAGACTCAACATAATTGATTTTTGAGCGGCGTATTTTTTCACTTATTGATGACTAGGTTTCTTGCAACTTAAATGACAGGTTTTTGTATAGTACATTGTATAACAATGTTATGTCTTGTAAATTCTTACTCCCCTTTCATCTGTATTTTGAAGAATGTGTGTAGTGGAAAATAGATGTCTTGATCAGTTAAAAACCAAAGCATACCAAAATACTTAAAAATTGAAATAGTAAGACTTTCTTTAAAGTTGGTAACAAACTTATTTTTGGTTGAGACATTAATAGGGAAAAAGTTACTGGTTTTCATTTATTTTTCAGGTTTCTTAGGATGGTATTAAATCTAGGTTCAGTGCCATGCTGAAACTTTCCTATTTAACAGTGTAATCTTCTTTTATGATCTCAAGGGTTTTTTTTTTTAACAGCAAAATATTTTGTTTTATGGTATGGTAACTTGATTCCATAGTAGGAAATGCCATTAGTATTGAAGGAACAAACTTTCTGACTTTGTAAGTACTGTGAGTGAACTGACCACTTCTGAAGAAGGTATGTCTGTTTAGCTCTGCAGGGAGTATGTGATTGGGTAATTACTGGATCTAAAAAGATCACAGTGAATGCTGCGATAAAATAATCTAGATCATCATCGTTTCTGTGGAAGGTCTAGAAATGTTGCCTTGAGCATGTAAGGCTGAAAGAAGTACTAAAAATGTGTCTGGGGACTTGTATGCTCTTCAAATTGTCATATTTGGCTATAGCTTATGAATAAAATATGCTTTTTAGTGGAAAATTGTTAAATAGGGGAGAATCTCATAGTTAAAATTCCCCATAGTTGAAGTGGAGGAAGGTAGGGCCTAAGCAAGCAAAATAGGACATTTGGAGAACTTTGGGGAATCGGAATAAATGAAGGGGTTGTGCTTTAACTGTTTGTCATCAGAGTGCAGTCTTGAAAATGAGCAGAATTTGTTGCTTTCTGCAACATGCTTTTCTTGGTATACATTTTGGATGGAACAACACGTTTTAGCACTTTGTTTTCATGCAGCTCCTCGGGAAAAGTTCTATACAAGTCTTTGCAGGCTTGACTCAACTATTTTATATGATCTATAGTATTTCCTTTGCATGAACATCACATTTTGCATTTTGATTGATCAAGTGAGAATGAAAAATTGTGTGACTAAATTTTACATGCTGCTTCTTTTGACATTTTAAGTCTCAAATACAAGTACTGATGAAGTATCTATATATTTTTTTTTCTTTTTTTCTTTTCTTTTTTCCCTATTTGGTAGGCATAAAGGTTTGAATACTGTCACTGAAGAAGGGTAGAGTTCAGCGTAAGACCTTATCTTTATGTACAATGCATATACAAGTATTTTCCCACTTTCTTCAACTACATTCCTACTGAGTTTATTTTTGAGGCACTATATCAAAGCAAAAACTGTGTTCCATGACTGAGCCAGTTAAGCAGTATTAGCAACTAAATTAGCAAAGATTGGAGAATGGAAAATGCAGGTAGGATTTTTCTGTCCTCCTCTCTCTCCTTTTGCCCTTCCTATCCC